ACATATAATGTACTTGTCCAGGCCCTTTCATTATTGGTTTTAAGTGGATACTTATCTAAAATTAGCAGCCAATATGTTCTGTCTTGTCTTGAACTGCTAGGCCATATCAGTTCTTCATGGAAGAGCTAATCAATGGAATCTGTGATAGTTCTTGCCAGTAATATACAAGCAATGTTGGATAGAACAGTGCTAAAACAGCTCAAAATTGGTACTGATGACTCAATATTTGCAACAAAGGAATTCTTCTTGATTTCAATCTACCTTAACTGCATTGGAGGGTTTCTACAGGTAGAGATATGGTTCCTAATGCTCATTCACCAGGAAGCAACCTCTGTCACCAACAGGGTTATCAGCATAGGTTATGAGTGGTCATGGTTGGGGGGTTGTACATAAATCTGTGGCTGGAGGTATGGAAGGAGGTATTGTAAGATTGGGAATTTGCACAGTAAGATTGAGGCATACTGCCTGTGAAGTTAAAAGAGAAGTATAGGGGGGTTTTTTTTAATCAAAATCTTAATTACCTAGGTGGATGCAGCTTTGTTCTCAGCAATCAGAGCAGACTAGAGCAGATTGGAGCGTTGGGCTATGGAAGAGGAGAGAACAGTTGGCTCAGGCTCTCAGTGGCTCACTGGCTGAGCCAGGTGCAACTCCAGACTCTCGAGTGGATCCCATCTTTAAAGTTGGGATCATTCCCCAGCCTGGACCGACTGAGTGACGTCAGCCAACATCGGCTGTTTGCCCGCTGTCAGCTGAAAACGGGTCACAGGAGTGCTGTGCTTCTCTTTTAAGCAGTTTATAAACCATAACAGAACCCCATCATAATTTTTTTTGTCTACAACACTGACATTTACAAGTAAGTGCTAAGTGATGATTGTCCCATGCATTTAATTTATGTGTTCAAATGTCTTTAGAAAGTCACAAGGAAAATGATTAGTGAGCTTCTTATTACATTATCGAGCACACCGTTTCCCCTACCCACAAGTGTGTGAAAAACATGGCCTGTAGGGCTGAATTCAAACTGCTACATTACGACAACACACGTGTGTTGGTGCGCTATGGTGACATTCATCCTGAATGGCACCCCATTGAACCTTTCACACACATATGCATTGCAGTGCACTGCAACTAAGATAATGCACCACCTTGCATTTTGTTGTGCTGAATTATTTTTAAAAAATAGCCTATGTATATTTTTTGAGAAATATGTTGCATTAGCCAACATATTTAAATGAATGAGCTGTTTTAATGCACTGCTTTAATGTGCATCATAATGCGCATTAATGAACTGTACAGCTGTAAAATTCATATGTTGTTCTAATGTATTTCTATATTCAACTAAATTCCAATTTATATGTATTTCCAACAAAGTAGGTCAGATTCAGTTTCCCTTTTAAATAATATCCAAACACTGTTTTTTAGGCACACTTTGAAAAGAAAGCGGCGGCATTTTGGACCAGAATTAAAATAAATATCACATGAATAAATAATCTATTTTACTTAATATAAAAGAAAAAAAGATCAACCTCCCAAGGAAAAGCCTGCAAATTAGCTGAGCATGAGCCTATAGAAGGAGCTGAAAGTGTTGCTGAGGCAGAATAAGCTCAGAGCTCTTGGGCTTTAAAAAAACGCACAATGTTTTCATAGTGCTGAAGTGGAAGTTTGTGTGTATCAAAGCCCTGACAAATGTTCCTGCAGTTAAGCAAAACTTTGTTTATATTGCGTGCCTCTCAACAGAAATTAAGAACTGTGGAAACAATCCACGCGAGTGCCTGGCAATCTTCTCTCATTCTCTCTTAGTGGATATGACAATCTCACCTGCTGCGAGAGACTGGAAGTAAAAGGACAATCTCACGCCATTAATAAAACATCAGCCAGAGCCGAATCAGAGACAGAGTTAACCACTGGAGACCCAGGATAATACTTAATTTTGTCGATGATGGAAGTGCTTTAGCCTGAGGTAACTTTCGTGGAGGCCATGTTTGCGTGCAAACCTTCACTTAAAGCCATACTGGATGGCAGAGCTAATGTTCACACGAGTGTAAACTTACATTGAAATGCATGAACCGCATGAGATGTTACATCACTCAAGCCAGTCAGCTTTGGCAGTGGCCTAATGTTTTATTTAAGCTTACTCCTCTAAGGAGATCTAAAAATTCACTCAACGCCCTCGGAAATGTGTCTGTTTTGGCTGCAGAGAATGGTTCCCAATCACGAAAGGATAAAAACATCAAAATAAGCTAATAGAGATCTGCCTTGAAATTCAGTCCCTGTGGGCAAGAAGCTTTTTTACAGGGTGAGGAGGGAGGAACACATTATTCACAGATCAAGGGGTTTTAATGCGCAAGCGCTTTGCAACTCAATATGATGCACTGAAGCGTGGGTTAAAAAAAAAAAAACCCTGCTTCGTAGAAACGAGAAAGGACAGGGGAAGTCAGGCAGCAATGGTTTATAATGGTGGAGATTTTTATGAATGTATGTGCTCAACTGCTGTGTCTCTTAGTAAAATCAGCACCTTTTTTTACATTGGTCAAAAATCCTGCAGTGCTTTTAAACACTAGTGCTTTATATGAGACGTATTTCATGCAAGCATGTGAGCATTACGTCTTTCTTTGGAGGTGCTGTCATTCAGTCACTGGGGAAGCACATTTATTATTTTTTAAACAACCTGTAAAGATTTCCTAGCAAATTACTTAACAACAGCTGTTAGAAATCATGATAAGATCTCTCTTAATAGAGTGTAGAGGGAACTCTGCTGCCTTTTGAGATCACCACGTTCCTGAAACATCAATGCATTTATTATACCATTGAGTGTCTTTGCTAGAGAAAAATAGACACAAGCATTGTATGTTACAGATCATGGACTGCACCACTAATAATTTAGTGGTGGGTGGTTCTGGGCTCAGGATTTCAGCACCATAAAAGTAGAAAAGCAAAGTGAACCTTGTACCCTTTAAAGGAACAGTCTACCCAAACTGCTATTTTATGATAGAGGCAGGATAGGTAAACCACCTGGCATACACTATATTGCCAAAAATATTGGGACGCATATGAAATTTAATGGCATTCCAGTCTTAGTCTGTGGGGTTAAATATTGAGTTGGCCCACCCTTTGCAGCTATAATGGCTTCAATTATTCTGGGAAGGCTGTCCACAAGGTGTAGGAGTGTGTCTATGGGAATGTTTGACCATTCTTTCAGAAACACATTTTTTAGGTTAGGCAATGGTGTCGGACGAGAGGGCCTGACTCACAGTCTGCACTCTAATTCATCCCATAGGTGTTCTTTCGGGTTGAGGTCAGGACTCCGTGTAAGCCTGTCAAATTCCTCCACCCCAAACTCACCCATCCATGTCTTTATGGACCTTGCTTTGTGCACAGGTGCGCAGTCGTGTTAGAACAGGAATGACCATCCCCAAACTGTTCCCACAAAGTTAGGAGCATGAAATTGTCCAAAATGTCTTGGTATGCTGATGCCTTAAGAGATAACTTCACTGGAACTATGGGGCCAAGCGCAACCCCTGAAAAAAAAAACCACACCATAATCTCCCCTCCATCAAACTTTACACTTGGCACAATGCAGTCAGGCAAGTACCTTTCTCCTGGCAATCGCCAAACCCAGACATGTCCATCGGATTGCCTGACAGAGAAGTGTGATTGGTCACTCTAGAATGGTGGATGAAATCCTTTATTGGAATCCTTTACATGCAATATGATAAGAACATGACAGCTCCAAGACAGGACAGAGGACCAGTAGACACGTTTCACATGAACACGTGCTTAGTCATTGCTTAATGACTAAGCACGTGTTGGTGTGAAATGCGTCTACTGTACCTATGTCCTGTCTTGGAGCTGTCATGTTCTTATCATATTGCATGTAAAGGATTCCAATAAAGGATTTCATCCATCACATTGCTGTTTGTGTGGCCAACCACTCTGTTTTCCATTGCATCTGTGATCAAATCAGTTTTGGACATTTTCAATGCTAATAGGCCAGGGAGTTTCAAACAAAGAGCATGGTTAGCTGAGCAATTCCCTTGGGACTTGTGCTAATTGAAAAATGTTTTAAAAAAATGTTGTTCAGTGGGCAGCAGCTCTTTTAGCTATTCTTAAAGGAGAAATGTGGGATATAAAAAAACAAACAAACATGCATTCTCACCTACATAGTTGCAGCATTGGTCCAATGCTGCAGCTGTCCCCTGCAGGCTCTAAGAGCGAGAACTGCTGATCACTCAGTTTTCAGTATTCACTGAGCAGAGAGCGGTGGCTGCCAGTCACTGGCTCCCGCTCTGCCCAGCCAGTGCTCACTGTAGTGCTGGGCTGTGAAGAAGGTGGAAGCTACTGGCTCAGTGGCATGCTGAGAGGATGAGCCAGTTGCCAATCAACATCTGGTTTGGATTCCGGCACTGAATTTGGGATCCTTCAAGAGCCTGGACTGGCTCTGTGATGTCAGTTGACAGCCCACTCTTGGCTGAATCTGAGTCACACGAGTGCAGAAATATGTATGACAGAAAAAAAGCTTTACTTCTCTCCTAAAGTTATCCTACAGAATTTGTAGCTGCTGACTTTTATTTATTTTTTTTTCCAGAATGAATTTCCTCTTTAACGTGAAACATTTAAAAAGGAAAATTCCTTTAACTAACATGTTTGGGGGTGTATTAAACCTGCCTATGAAATGGTGCATCTGGATTTACTATAACAATGTGACATTTAAAAAAGTATAATTTTCCACTAAATGACATTCCCTATTGGATCATTTTTTGTTGGCATAGGGACCCCCAAATGAAACAAATGTCATGGGGAGTTGTGCAGTGTCCTGGGGTACATGTACCAATGCAAATTTTTTTTTAATACCATTTGACAGGGAGCAGCTATTTGTGCCAGTCTTTGATATCCCGCCAGTCACCGGACCCGAGCGGTGGAACATTTTGCCCAGCTAGGACTGTTTGGAGCGTCCTGAGGCCGCTCCTTGAGGGGGGGTACTGGGTCATCAGGCATTGGATCATCTGGCAAGACTGCAGGCATCGAGTCGTCTGGCAAGACTGTGGGCACCGAGTCGTCTGGCAAGACTGCGGGCACCGAGTCATCTGGCAAGACTGCGGGCACCGAGTCAACTGGCGGAACAGCGGGCATCGAGTCACCTGGCAAGATTGCGGGCACCGAGTCGTCTGGCAAGACTGCAGGCACCGAGTCATCTGGCAAGACTGCGGGCACCGAGTCAACTGGCGGAACAGCGGGCATCGAGTCACCTGGCAAGACTGCGGGCACCAAGTCACCTGGCAAGACTGCGGGCACCGAGTCGTCTGGCAAGACTGCGGGCACCGAGTCGTCTGGCAAGACTGCGGGCACCGAGTCAACTGGCGGAACAGCGGGCATCGAGTCGTCTGGCAAGACTGCGGGCTCCGAGTCAACTGGCAAGACAGCGGGCACCGAGTCATCTGGCGGAACAGCGGGCATCGAGTCATCTGGAATAATAGGATCATCAGGCTGGATCAGTTCATCAGGCTGGGTAGAAACATCATGCTGGGTAGAGACATCAGGCTGAATGGAGACATCAGGCTGAATGGAGACATCAGGCTGAATTGTGGGCACCGAGGCACCAGGCTGCACCACAGAAGGCAGGTTCTCAGATGGGAGGCTGACCGGTTTGGATACTGGCAGGATGGCATTGGTTGGAAAGAACTTTCGCCTTTTCCTGGTTTTAGTTACCGGAGCACTGTAAGTAAGAGCAGGTTTGTAAACGGATGGAGCAGCTGGAGACAGAGAAGAGCTGGAGGATGGAACAGAGGAGGGAGCAGTTGCTACAGAGGACTTCTTTACAGGGTTGAAGAAAGGATAGGTGCAGCGAGTGGGAGCAGAGGGGACTGGTATGTGGTAGTTAGCAGAGTATACTGGGCCATCAATGGAGGTGCTGTCGGGGATGCAGGAAGAGTGCCTTGAGCAGAGGAATGATGTTGCAAGCCAACTGAGGCTGGGTGTAACAAATCTGTCCATGTCTGCAGTACTGGTTTAACAAAACTCAGCTTACACCTAGCCTGTCTGATCAAAGACTGCACTGTGTTTATGCAATCCATAAGCACATGTGATGGACATGCTGCATAGTGCTCATGGAAACAATCTGGATCATCCTCCAACAACCATACCAGTGATTCCACTTGATCCACACTAAATGGGGGAAAAAAAGTCATCCCTGCTTTCAGAGGTACAGGACCGAGCCAACTCAGCACAAACCTGGATCAATGGCTGTACCTCAGAAAACTCTGTGCCCTGATCAACTAGACAATGAGCGATCCTTAAACACTCTAGCAGTTGATCCCGGGTATACTCCTTAAGAGTCTGATAAGCATAGTCTTTGTCATCAAACACTAGCAGAGATAAATACACCACCTCATCAAGATCCATCTTTCCCAGCAACAATAAGCCAAGATGGCCTACCTGTGCAGCCACTTCTGGTCAGGTTTTTGGCCTTGGTGTAATGTCAGGGATGCGGGTGTGACCAGAGATGTGTGTACTGACACAGGGAAACACAGGCTCCAGATATGGTATAAACAAGACAATTTATTAAGACTAACAATACAAACATAAACGCAGTGCACCAAACCCCAAGCTAACACAAATACATACAACAAGATGAAACAAACCCAAACCTAAACTGATACAGATACACAGGTACATACACATATAGAGCACAACGTAATCAGGCAGGCCAGGTTGATAACTATCGGGCAGGTAGGTACAGGAGGAGCAGGCGGAGAGAAAGGTCAGGGTCACAAGCCAGGGATCAAAACAGGAGAAGTCAGCAGAGGTCAGGATCAGGCAGGGTCAGCAACAAGTCAGGCAGAGGCAGAGGCAGGAACAGGAACAGGAACATAGGTTACAAGATACAGGGGCCCATGGAAAAACACACACCAAGGCACAGACTGCAGGTCTGGCCATCCCTTAAATACACCTGCAATCAGCCCCAGGTGTCAAGGTCCTACCTTTTCCCTGAGGTTATGTTACTCCATGTGCTGGCGTCCATCTTGGATTCTGCTGTGCATGATGGGAATCCTTTTATGCCTTCAGGTTTCTGTGGTCCATCCCCCAGAGGGGTGTGGCTGATGACATATAAGCCTGTGGCCCGCACATGCTCTTTGCACTTGTGTCTTGTGTCGCTATTACTCTGTTCT